TTAGTTTTCTTATTATAGAGAAATTCTGACCCAGGATTTTTTGCGGGTATAAGGCCCCTTTGGTACAGGGCTGGGGTGTAAAGTCTGTGTTCTTGTCTGTCCCGTTAAGTAATAGTATGAAGTTCAATGGCTCTTTTAGCTATTATGAAGTTACTCCCTTCTGCTTAGTTTCACAGTTCAAACTAAAAAGAGATAAATGTGCAAGGTATTTCAATTATATCTTAGAGATAATTTGTTTCAATATTCCAGTAAAACATTATATTAAGTGGTAATGTCATCTATCAAATTAATTCATTGCAGGAGACCATCAGTAATCTTCTGGTTTAATTTGTATTTTACTCTGAAGTCCTGTTAGCACAGCGTGACAATCTGCAGTGGCGCTAGCAAGTGTGTGAGCACTGCAGCAGCTTTGACTCCATGGCTGGGGCAGCCGTGGGGGTGGGGAAGGCAGGAGTGCCTGGATGAGGGCCCCTGCATTGCTTGGCAATGTGAGGGATGTCAGTGAGGGGCTGTTTCCATTTGGGCAAAATTGCGCAGGCAGAGTGGTGAGTAATTTCACCTGCTGGTAGAGAGTGTATGAGGGGGATTCTCAGACCCCACATTCCCCAGCACAGACAAGCTACAATTGTTTAGCATGTTTATTACTTAGCACCATCTCCAAGGTCATGTCTTATCCCCCCTCCTCGTGGTTTTCTGCTGCTCCACACGTTCAGCACAGCAGTGTGTTCTGCCCAGTGTGTTTATTCTCCAAGCTGGAGCTGCACAGCCTGCAGCTGTGATACCTGCTCCCCACAGGAGATGCATTTTTTTGCTGTAGAAGTCGCCTTCCGCTTCTGATCCAGGGGCAGGGAAGTCTTTGCATTGACAACCTTTAGATAAGTCTGCTGCACACCGTGTTCTTTGTGAGAGCTATTTGACCAGGTTTCCCCTCACTTTCACCAGAGCTGGGGCTTGATGTGTTTTTCTTTTTTCTTTCGGATGGGCTGGAGAGTCCTCTCTGGTCATGATTCTTCATTCATGTGTGGGAGCATCACTGCTGATGTGTGCCCTTGTCTGAGGGTATAACAATTTGTCTGCCTGTCTGTCTTGTCTGTGTGTTAGTCTGTTCTGCTTTGCTTTCTCTTTGCTTATTAAGTCCTTCAATTCCCACCAGAAGGGGATGGAAGAAGGCACATACACAAGAGGTGCAATGGGTGGACACACTGATGACAGTTGACTTTGCTAGGAGCAGAGAGAGTATTACGGAGTAACCCCACCATCTTTCTTCCTAACAGTTAAAAACTGCCACAGGGCTTTTCTAGGCTCTTAACATAGAACCTCTTCCTGGTATTCTTACAAAACTGTGGTGTTCTTTAGGTCCCTTCTCAAACTCTGTATGAGGTGGAAACAGCAGCCAGCTGTGCTTCAGGACTGACTGTACTGCATATTTGTATAATCTGTGGACATGGCACATACGCATTTAAGCACCTGCTTAAGTTTATTCATTTAGTCTTAACAAAGCATGTAGTATGACTGAGGGGTAGGAGTTAAGTTGTCCTGACAGGTTGTGAGTACTCAGTGATTTTTAGGGCCCTCAGTTTACCTCCAGCAGCAACAGGGCTGGCTCAGTGTTTTGGAGGAAGGAACCTCTTGTGTTTTATAATTTGGAGCTGTGCTCTGCACTTACTGGTTCCTTGATCATCTCCGGCACATGAAGCCATCACTGTAGATAGTAGATGGGCAATTTTTTAGCTTTCAAAAAACTTATTTAATTCATAATTATTAATGCTTTTTGGAGAAAAGGCTGGTCAGGGAAGTTACAAGTAATCAATTAGAAATGGACCATGTGGTCTTAGGAGCTCGTGGAGCACTTCCAGCAGTCAATTTATTAGTATGGAGCATAGAAATTCTTACAGCTGTCTCTTACCTCAGCCTGAAAATTGGTTTTTCCAGCTACTTGACCCACCTGAGTAAGCTCTGGTCTCATCCGATTTCATGCACTATATCCAGTTCATCTGCACAACATTGATTTGGAGTATCTAATTATTCCATTTCCCTTTCAGACCTGGTGATAGACAGGTAGGAATGACTAACAGAAATTCTGTGATGCTTTCGGGCTCCACAGTAAATGCTTTGAATGTGAATTCTACTGCAATTAGCCTATCTAACTTACATTTAATTTTTTTCTCTATAGAAATATACTTGGTAACAGAGCATTGTTTCTTATAAGTGATCCCAGATTCCAGCCTGAGACAGTACAGCTAAGTGCAAATAAGTTGCTGTGGGATTGTGTTGGCCTAGAGTGGGTCACAGTGCTTGAGAAAAGAGACAGTTTGCTTTAATATAGTGATGGGCACAGCTCCAGAGGTCCAAGATGTAGTTCAGAGGAGCTTTGAGAACAGGAACTAGATATGAATAAGCTCATCACCTTGCACTTCTCCAAAATCTTTTGGTATGCTTGGGCTGAAGGTGTTACAAACCTTTTTATCCTCTGCTTCTGCTCTGTCTTGGGATGCTGTGAGAAAGCAAGCCTTTTACTGAAGGGCATTGTTGAAGTGAATAAAGAGAAGAGAAAGACAAAAATATTGAGGGCTTTGTAATTTGGGTTGAAAATTCTGTTGAATGATCACAGAGGATTGCAATGCTTTGTGTCCTGCCCAGTGCATTCCCGCAGGTAGTGCAAATCACCCTACACTAGTTCAAGCATCCCATTTGCTCACAGCATTCCCCTTGCTTTCAGGAGGAGTTTGAATATGCAAAAAGCATGCAAAACCAGGCTCTGGATACCTGTGCAACCTTATCAGCATCCCTCCCCTTCCCCATTAAACCTCCAACCCCTTATTTTCCTAGGTGTGTTCTGGGACATGCAAGTCCTCATGAAGGTTGTGGCTGGGAGGGAGGCAGGGCAGATTCCAGAAACTTCACAGGGGGTGATTTTTGGGGCTGGGTTCTCAATTCAGGGCCTCCTCTGACTTGAAGCTCTGCCTTGTTGTGGGAGTTAACAGAGTAGCTCAGATCTTGGCTTGGTACAAGCTAGAGTGATTTTGATGGGGCTACACTGCATTGTCCCTTCTGAGGACCTGTGCTGGACTTTTTTAAGAAGCAAGTGACTTAACTGTTCTCTCCTGTGTCAAAGTCATTGAGGACTTTTCTAAAAACAGTGGGAGATTCCTCTCAGCATACTTTTGGCCTTCCAAGTTTGATGCTCTCAAGTATGTGTTTCTGTCCTTGTTTTTTGTCCCCTTACAGGAATGCAGTGTGACACTCCTTGTCCAGTCCATTCCTGCAGGTAGTGCAAATCACCCTACACTAGTTCAAGCATCCCATTTGCTCACAGCATTCCCCTTGCTTTCAGGAGGAGTTTGAATATGCAAAAAGCATGCAAAACCAGGCTCTGGATACCTGTGCAACCTTATCAGCATCCCTCCCCTTCCCCATTAAACCTCCAACCCCTTATTTTCCTAGGTGTGTTCTGGGACATGCAAGTCCTCATGAAGGTTGTGGCTGGGAGGGAGGCAGGGCAGATTCCAGAAACTTCACAGGGGGTGATTTTTGGGGCTGGGTTCTCAATTCAGGGCCTCCTCTGACTTGAAGCTCTGCCTTGTTGTGGGAGTTAACAGAGTAGCTCAGATCTTGGCTTGGTACAAGCTAGAGTGATTTTGATGGGGCTACACTGCATTGTCCCTTCTGAGGACCTGTGCTGGACTTTTTTAAGAAGCAAGTGACTTAACTGTTCTCTCCTGTGTCAAAGTCATTGAGGACTTTTCTAAAAACAGTGGGAGATTCCTCTCAGCATACTTTTGGCCTTCCAAGTTTGATGCTCTCAAGTATGTGTTTCTGTCCTTGTTTTTTGTCCCCTTACAGGAATGCAGTGTGACACTATGTACAATTTCTGGTTGTAGTGGTCCATACCCATTTGCTCTGACTCCCTCCTCTGAACTTGTTTCACTGTCGCCTTTCTCTTTGCAGCATTCTGTGCGCTGCAGTGCAGTTGCATTATTGTAGCCTTAATGTTTCTTGTGTAAATGAAAGACCTTGTGTTCCAAGAAGCATGGTGTTGGGATGGGGAGGGGAAGAGTTGTTCTTTTTATTTTGTTGTCTGCTATCCATTTATTATTTTTATTTATTTATTTATTTTTATTTGGACCGATATAACATCTGCTAAAATGTCTTCCTTATCATTTGCTTGGTGATCACACAGCCTTCCCACCATTCATTGAGAGCTGGACCAGATCTCACAGAGTCTGAAAAGAGCTATGTGGTAAGGCCACTGTTTAAATCAGATGTGTAGTCCTAGACTCTCTTCACCCAGGCAACACCTCAGTAGAGATAAAATACCAGCACCATTTTTAGCTGCAAAGTAGGTACATATTTGTCTATTTGCATATATTGTGTTGTTTGCAAAAAAAAGGAACTCAGCACTTCAGAAAACATTCATAGCCAATGAGAGTTGGGCTAATTGTGCTGTCAGTCCCTGGGTATAAGTTAAATGAAGCAAAATGCATGAATGGAGAGGCCCGCCTTGCATTCTTGAACTGACTTCATAGCATTTTTAGTGGTGCTACTGCATAACTAATTGCAACCTCTTATGCTGCTGCTTTAAAAAAAAGTATGTATATGTATTTGTTACAAGTCTTCAAACTAAATGCCAAATTCTTCTGTATCTTGCCTGTTTTTCCATGCTTACACCTGGATCCCTTCTGCACTCCACTACCTGGATATTTACCTGGATCTACAACTTTTTTTTTTCTTTTTTTCTTTTTTTTTTTTTCTGGACTTATGTGCTGCATCTGGAATGTCCCATCTCTTCTTGTCTATATTTTCCCCTCCCTTCCCCCTGTTGACTGTTCTTTGGGTGGTTTTGGATGTCAATGCTGCCTACCACTCAGGAAGCTGTTTGCAATGAGATCATAAACATTGCAGAAAAGTCTGTTCATTACTGCAGTACTATTTCTCAGCCTCTTGACTCTCGCCACAAGGTGACCTCTATTGACCATAAACCATCTCTCGTCATTTCTCAGCAACCTCAAGCACAGCAGCAAGGAGCCAGCCCTGACAGAAGTCAAACACCACGAGACATGTAAGTCCTTTTGACTTCCATCTCTTCCAGGGATCTTGTCTCTGGCTGATGGGTGAAGATTGGGAAGTGTGAAAGCTTCAGTTTTCCAGGAGTTTTATTAGAATTATGGGAAAGTGTTAGCTTTTCTTTAAACAAAAATAGCCACATCATGGTTGTAACAAGTTGTTTAAAACTGGGATAACATCTGAGTACAACATTTGTAACAATGACCTCATGATCTAGGACTGGGTCTCCTTTGGGGACTTGATTCATGCTGGTTACAGAGAGTATCTCAGTGTCTTTTAATTTTGAAGCAGGAGACAAATTATTATCCACTGGCTACACCTGGCTCATGGCACAGGTCTCTGCGTCCACCCCTGTTCTTAACTTCTCAGTACAGTGAGCAGACAAAACTGATGCCATTTGGTGTGGTTTTGGCCAGTTCCACAGATGTGTTTGTGGGTGAATGATCTGAGAGACCAAGGATGAGGTTTTCAAAGCTCTCTGGTGAGTTTAAGCCTGGTGCTGCCATTAAGCTTGGTGGGGCCTTTCACTGCTGGTTTTGAGGCTAACAGCCTGAACTGTGTGCTGGGGACTGAAATTCATTGGCGGTTGGCTCCTGAAAGCAGGGACCACTTTAAGCAGAATGAAAAGTCTCACATCAGCTTTATTTTTGCCCCCCACAGCCAGGGGATTCAAGCTTCCCCAAATTTGCCCAGAGATTAAGTTTACTCCATTAAGTTCCATTCTGATAAATACAGAACCTCTGGTGCAAGTGGTGTATCAGGGCAGGATTCAACCTTTTATTTTGTTTGCACTGTTCCTCCTCAGCCATGATTTCTACAGCAACCTTAGTGCAGTAGAGTAGGTAGTATCTTTTTTAAAAGTCCTTCACATTGCTATTTGGTCATGGCTTGCCTATGTGCCTGGGCAAGGGAACAGTTGTCTCATTTAACCCAGGAATGGGTGTATCCAGGTTTTGTCTTGCATTCAGCGAGGTGTCTGCACTTGTACACTTTCAGGGTGCTGCACATTAGGAAGGTTCCAGTTGTCACAGTCTATGGAGACAAACACGTGGCAAAAGGGAAACAGAAGCCCTCCAAGTGTCCCACACACTGCAGACATGACACTTTTTACTGCTATGGCCTTGTGACAACAGCCAATTTAATGCAGTTGGCTTCCACCTCCCAAATGGAAAACATGGGTGTAGACTACATTGAACAAAATATAATGGGAATTAGAAGGGGGAAGGGGGACATCTCCTGAAAGGATGCCAGGGAAATCCGATGGCTAATTATGTGGCATTTTTCTGGTTTTAGAGTTAGTTACCAAGCCCTCTACAGCTACACACCTCAGAATGATGATGAGCTGGAACTGAGGGACGGTGACATTGTTGATGTAATGGAGAAATGTGACGATGGCTGGTTTGTGGGTGAGTGTGACACTTGCCTGTTAGCAAAGCTTTTTGAGATGAAGATGAGAAATTTTGTAGAACATCTGGAAGCTGCTTTCATTTGCAGGGTCAAAACGGGGCTAAAAATCAACTGGACTTCTTGCACAACTTCTCTTCTTTTCCCACTAAAAACATTAAAATTGGGGTGCAAGGTTGTGGAGCTTTGCTTTTCCTTGCTCGCTCTCTACTGTTTCCTTTTGTCTGCTGTTAATTTCCTCGTTCCCCTCTTCATCCTGATCCTTCTTGCTTATACAGGTGGCAGAGCAACAAAGAGAACTAAGGAAAACTGGATTTCTGTAGCTTTTCCAAAGCTGATGGAGCCATGGCAAGTTACAGAAAGTGGCACGTAGGGGATGAAGGGAACACATGAATGGGAGCTGCAGTCCCAGAAAATCCATCTGTAGCTAAAGTTTAGCAAAATCTAGCCCTTTACTTTCAAAGAATGCAAGTCTGGACAGTGTTCTCCATCTCAGCAATGCAAATCTAGGCTTGTTCTCTCTTCTTAAGGGAGATTAGCTCATTTACACTGATAGGAGTTTGGCTTCTAGCCTGTGGGCCTAGAAGCTTCCACCAACACCTTAATAACTTTTAAAAGGAAAGGCCAAAGATTATTAGTAGCAGAACTAGTTCTGATCTTGTCTATACCAAAAGGGTTTTTGACTGGGACTCCTATTTAGTTTTAGAGAGCAGTGCCTGCAGGCAGAGGAAGCTGCCACCTCTACCTTTTGGAACCCCTAAGCCTTCCTTGCCCAGCTCCATCTTACACTGGTGTCCTTGTGTTTTATTTTGCAACAGGTACATCCAGGAGAACAAGGCAATTTGGCACCTTTCCAGGCAACTACGTGAAGCTTCTGTACCTGTAATGTAACAGTCGTCGCACCACAACAAATGGGGAGTTGTTTTCCAGATGGTGTTTTTAAACAGTGAAGAAACAGACAATTTATGAATGTAATAGACAAGAGATGATATGTGTTAGGAGGATGTGGTTATGTGGTACAGTATTGAGTTGAATGTGTAGCCCTGCTTCCACTGATTCAGGGTGTGGTTTATTTGCTGAAGAAGAGACAGTTTCTAGTTTACAGTGCTGCCTTTGTGTATTCCTTTCCCCTTCCCAGCAAGAGTTCTGGTGATAACCTTAATTTGTATGGAGTACTTACCTCTGAGAAGGCTTCAGGGAAGCACATGGTATAGGTTTTGGTTTTGTGTTGAGATATGATAGTGCTTTGGGGCAGTAGGCAGCCTTGCAGCTGTTCCCTTTTGCTGGCAAGGTCAGGGTGGCCAGGCTTTCTGCCTGGTTTCTGCCTTGCTGAAAATTCACTTTGCTCTGCCTTCCACTTCGATAGAAAATCCTTCCTTCATGTCATGCATCTTAAGACCCGGCACAGGCAGAAGGCAGCTGATACAGTTAAACTGCAGAGCTCTGTGTGGAAAAGGAGTTTGGGACTGGTGGTTTAATCGAGAAAAGAAAGCCAAAACAACACAAGCACGCAAAAATCCCAAACCCTTTAATAACATACTACCAATCTCTGCAGGGTTTTTTTCTTTTGTGCAGGGTGTGTGTGTGAGTGTATTGTGTGCATCAAAAGGAACTGAGTCCTGCATTTTTAAAGAGAAATCAGCCTGGCTTTGACATTTATCTGCACAAAGAATAGAACCAATAAACAGAACATCTGTGAGAGCAAATCTTGTTTGAGTCCCACAGCCGTTCACTTTCTCTGCTCCTCCTGCCCTGTTGCTGGCCCTAAAGGATCATACACTTTCTGAAGCATACTCTTTGGGATGGAGGCATTGTTTTGTTCCTGACATTAAATCTTAGAGGCTCTGATAAATCTGAGCAACACATCACTGAGGGTGCTTTTTTTTTTCTTTTTTCTTTTTTCTTCCCTGTTTTGGTTATGCTGTTGGTGGTAGGTCTCAAACAAAAACATGATTTTGTTGCCTCTTTAGTCATACCAAAAAATCTAATCAATTTGGAAGGCTGTTCCCAGCAGTTATTACCAGTTACATAGATTTGTATTTCCTTGAGGAAAAAAACCAACATGGCTTGCCTGTCTGCTTGCCTGAAATCCACTATGAATACCCTTTTGATAGACATTTTGTTATTAAGAAAAAGCATAAACAAAACCGGTTCTATCAGACTCTGCTTCCTACAGTTACCATACAAATAGCAAAGGGTTAGATTGGTATTTTGTCATAAGCCGTATTTAATAATATAAAATGCCTATTTTTATGCTGATGCTTTTATACAGATTTATTAAGAGTAACTACAACTAACTGTTAGCACGACTTGCAATGTTTTGATAAACTAGCCATGCTCCTGGGTTTGAAATCAAGTAGGCTTCTCTTCAGCCTAGGGCAGCAGAAGAGAAGACTCAGTGTCTCAGAAGTTTGACTGTAAATATGTATATTTAACTTTGTACAGACAATGTACTTACCTTGTATAGAGAAGTAATTTAAACACATTGAGTGAAGAGAGGAAAAAAAGGCAGTTGTGAAAGGTTGGGATTTTTTCCACTTTTATTTAAGTGATGGAATTCCATGTATGTTCACATTAAGAGTTTTAGCACAAAATATTCATTATGAAAGGGTTTCAGATATGACACAAAGCACCACTGTTTCTTTTGTGCAGGAGATACCTTTAATCCTGCCTCTTATTTATGGGTTTGTTTTTCTGCTTCGGGTTTGCCCTCCAGTTATTTGCAGCAATATTTAGGCCTGTTGCTATGATTGGATAACACCAAATTAATCTTATTCTGCGAATTAACATGATGATACTGACTGTATATAACATACTCATTTAAAGGTTTATTTTTTTGTTCTTGCTCTTACCATTTAAATAACACACAGACACACACACACAAATGGCAACTTATTTTTGTGTTGATTTTTCGTTTCTTATTGCAGTGGATTACTATTTGACAATTAATAAATGGAACTATTGAATTACTATTGTGTTCCTTGTGCAAATTATTAAATCAATTCTATTCCTTCTCTTCCTGCAGCAATGCTCTTTTGCACTAGTGCCCCTCTGTGGCTGTCTTGGGCTGTGTCCGTACTGAGCAGCAGTGTCTGCTGTGGGGTTCCCAAGGATTCTGCACCTGAGAATCCACCTCATGACAGGACCTGAGCTCACTGCTTCTCCCTCCTGAGCCATGGTCAGGCCATGGCTTTTTCTCAAAGAAACCAAGGAGAGAGAAAGCTGGTTTACACCCAGGTCTCACTGTGCCATGGAGTGACAGTGCAGCTGCTGTAGCATGTGCGCAGACCTGGGAGCTCAGGAACACACTTGAGTCTGCTGTTTTACAAAGGGTCGTTGTGATTCTGTCTCACATGAAAAGACCACTCAGGTTAAATAGAATTGTAGAATCATAGAATGTCTTGGATTGGAAGGGTCATCTAGTCCAGCCCCCTTACAATAAGCAGGGACATCTCACACTGGAACAGATTGCTCAGAGTCCTGTCAACCCTGACCTTGAATGTCTCCAGGGATGGGGTCTCCACCACCTCTCTAGGCAAGCTGTCCAGTGATCCACCACCCTAACATTAAATAATTTTTCTTAATGTCCAACATAAATCTACCCTTTTCTAGCTTAAAACCATTACCCCTTGTCCTATTGTTTCATGCTCTTGTGAACAGGTCTTCCCCAGCCTTCTTAAAGGCTTCTTTCAGCTACTGGAAGGTCACTCTAAGGTCCTCCTGGAGACTTCTCTTCTTTAGGCTGAACAATCTTCCAACTCCCTCAGCCTGTCTTCATAAGAGAGGTCCTTCAGCCCTCTGATCATTTTCAGGAAAAGAAACCCCAAATGTCAGCCTCTGTGGGAAGGGATGTCAGCTGATGCTGGATTTGCATGTGCATTTCTAACCTTGATTTGGGTCAAAAGCCATCAGACACTGACTTCTGCAGTACCAGGTATGGTCGCAGCATTAATTTAAGAGTTTTGTACAAAGTGTGTGGTGAACAAATTGTGTCTCCCAGCCCCATAGCAGTAGAGCTTTTTGGTTGTGCCTTGTGTAAAGGAACAGCCCCTTTAGGAGCAGAGTGAGGGCAGGCTGGAGCTGAGCTGCCCGGGTGGGCTCAGTGGTGCTCAGTAAAGCACAAGCACCATGAAAATGCACCCTGCACCTCTGGCTCCTCCAGACTGCCTGAGCGGGGCTGCACCCAACCCAAAGGTTGGTCTTTGATGAGGAGTTTAATGTCCTTGAGGCCTGGACCTCAGTCTGAGACAAAATTGGGCAACAGATTCAAACTGACGTTGTGACCAGATGGCTGAGCAGACAGATACACATCATCCTGTATTTGCAATGATTTTAGGAAGTCAAACTATAAACAAGCCAAACCTAACCCTAAACTAACAGGGCAGCAAAAGCTTAAAGGATTTTAGACAACCACAGAAAGCATAGAGACACAAACCCATCTTTATGTTTCACAGGTTACCATCTATAAAAAGCAAAAGGGCAGCCTGACTGCTGCTTTGCTGCAGTCATTGATATTGCCAGCTGTGGCTGTACAGTGCCATGGCTGGGAGGCAGAAAGGCAGACTCATCTGTAGCTACTGAACCTTGGTACTTGCTAGGGTCACTCTCTATCCAAATGTGCTTGCTAAGAAACAAACTAGAGATGTTTTTGTGCCTGCAGAAGCTGGGCACGTGGAGAGGAGAAGAGGACCCAGTGATGTGTCACGACTCTCCAGAAACTCTCCACACCTAGGGGAAAAGGTGCTCTTTGCCTCTCTTTCTTCACTGCCAGGAGATGTATAATCACGTGGCAGAAGAACTACTGCTCTCTGGTAGAGATGGAATTAATAATCTGGATGCACGTACCTTAGAAGGAAATGATCCATGAAATGGCAAGTTAATGCAGGACGAGGGAGGAAGACAAGAAAGGGGATTGCAGAGGTAAGGGTGTGCCTTGAGATGAGATAGCTCATGGCTGAGTCTTATAGGGACAGCACTGGATCAGCAGCCTCATCCCCACATGCTGACTGCTCCATGCTCCCCAACCATGGCTGAATCCCAGCTTCAGCAGCAGCCTTATGCTCTAGCTTACTGATGTTCTGTGCTGTCTGGGCTGTTTTTATTTACTGAATTAGAAGCAATGCTTGTGCACAGTTTGGTCACAGCAACGGTGCTGTCATTTACCACCTGTCCCATCTGGCAGTGGCTAGATTGGTGGGGGCTTGACATGCAACTGGAACAACTACTTTACCTGAGTCACAGCTAAGGAGGTTGGCTAACGAACACATAGAATTCCTTCTTTTGTTGGTGGTACTACCTGTAAGGGGCTAGAGGTAAATAAAACTGCCTAAAGCAGTGCCAAATCAGAGCTAAATTAGGGGAAAGGTAAAACCCTTCCCAGGCTCCGCCCTCACTCATCAGTTCCCAGCTGGGAAAGAGCACACAATGATGCTTATTTCCATCACGTCTATTAGTTTTCAGAGTTCCGCAGTAGGCTAGAGCAGGTCGAGCGGCGTTTGCCCTGGGAGATGCTGCACCGGGGGCAGCTCTGCTCCCGGCCGGCTCCGCCGGGGCAGGACCCCTGAGACCCGCTGAGTTCTCGAGGACCGAAATTGCCGTCCTCTAGCAGCGGCTCGGCCCGCGCACCTCCGCCCGGCTCTCTCCCGGAGCAGGCGGGGGCCGGCGCGGGGCTGTGCCCGGGGCGGGGGCTGTGCCCGGGGCTG